ACCACCCTGATATATATATATTATATATATATATATATATATATATATATAACTAATAAATGAATTTCACTCACTTTAGTATCTGATTCAGCATCTTTTTCGGGCGTGGGCGCCCTGGACACCTTGCTTGGTAAAAGAGCAGAATCTGCAATACAAAAAGCTATTAGTATAATAATTATAACTAAAATAATAGTTTAATAAACTATTCAGTATATGTCAAATATAATATTTTCAATTGAATTAATGAAGATACTGACAACTATCAAATAAAAAATTAAATTACCATTTGTACAAGTTAAATTCTTATATATATTAGGTTGGCAATTAAGTAAGTGCGGATTTTTCAGAAAGTCAAAGATATTTTGTTCATGGTACTAAATAACTTTATTCTGTAATGCATTATTCATTATGACCTGGTGGCTTTGTCATCTTTCAACAGCATCATTATCCCACCTTCATAAAACTTCTGGTTTTTATGAACAAAAAACTGAATCAGAAATAATTTGAAACTATTATTATCATTGAATTGTTTAACATTCAAGGAGTTTTTTAAAGATCGAAACAAAAAGTAATCAAAAGGTGCATAGTATCAGGACTGTATGGTAAATATGGCAAAACATCCCATCTAAGCTTCAATGATTTGTGTCAAGTGGCCAAAAATATGTGGTGTCGATAAAGGAATAAATCACCATTGCCAATCAAGGCCGCTTTTTTACTGCATTGTTTAATTTGCAGTTGATCGTTTGGTTAGATGGTAGGAGTACAAGTACATAATTCCCTTGTAAAAATCTTCAACTGGATCAGCGTGAATGACATTTAGTCATCTTTGAGTGAAAAATCAGCAGAACGAAGTTAGGCAAACCAATTTTGATACTACTGTTTATTAAGGCTTCTTCATCATAAAGAGCTCGTAACATTTTGTGAGCTCAAAATGCTTTGTACCTTTGTAAAACTTGGAAAATACAAAACCGATCAAAAAACTCTATTACCTGTCCATTAAAATGTTTTGTGCAACAACTCAACATCAAAAGCCTTAATGAGGTGACAATATTTATTGTAACTATTATGTAAAAAAAATTGAAAAAATATCACATGCTGTTTGAAAATTATTAGCTTTTAATTTCATTCCAAAGCTTTGGTTAAACTGTGACTTGGTTAATGTGGTTGATTTTTATTATTTTTGTTAATTTAAGCTTCCGAACCTTATTTTGAGTCACATTAACAGAGTTAAAAAGGCTCACTCTTGGAATAAATCTATGCAGTAAAAAAACAATGTTCTATTTTCAAAATTTACTATTAGTACAAAGTTTTTTGTACCCATATTTATTATTGACAGACATATAAAAATGATATATTACACTGATCTGTGGAATAATAAAAAAGTGCCACGACTCTAATTAGTGAAAATGATTTTGAATTGATTCCCACTATGCCTTTCGATAATTAGTTTATAATTTAACATAATGCAAAAAATGAATTTAGGTAAAATTGTAAATGTATGCTTTTCAAAGTCCACGGATTCATATGGAACAAATGCATAACTTATACAATAATATCAAGTTTACAGCAGCAGGTATGTTTTCGCCAGAATGCGGCACCGATTTGCTAGTAGATTGGCTTTGTATCGGTGCCGAGCGGTAAGGATTAATATTAGTTATACCTTCACTAAATTCACTAAATTCATCGATTTCTCCATATAGACATGTAAGTTTTCGAAACATTTGTCAAAAATTGTTATATCAAAACACAAACTACAAAAATTATTAAAATAATATATAATATAATATAGTAAACAATATCCATTTCCTAAATTATTAATATTTATAATTTCATTTTTTCATATAAAAAATGACAAAAAATAACATGACAAATCATGTCAAATATATACACGAATTTTTTGGAAAATTATTATCGATTAATATGTAACGATAGTAAAATATTTTAAATAACAAGGTGTCAGTGACATTTTGCCTCAAGACAAGTTGCAAAAACATTTCGCTATGTGTAATTCAGCGACTAAATCGATAGGAATTAACATTTAACTACTTTTAAAATCGTTGACATTTTAATTTTTTCCAATACTCTAAATTTCAATTAATGTTCATAAGTAAATCACTTTTCGTAGGCCTATGATATTTTTTGGTGTTCGATGAGACCACGAACTCAATATATATATAGTAATCAATATACAATAAAAAGTTTCATAATACAAGGAAATAGGATTATCTGGTGAAAATATTAACTTATACTGAAAGATAAAAAACTCTTATTCTATTTGATTTAAAAATAATTATTGATTTAACTTACTATTAAATAGAATTATATGTTATTAAAGAATAAAATAATATTACCAAAACACAATTTAAAATTGTCTTCAAATGTTCAAATAAGAAAATTATGGTTATTAATGAAATTTTTCATACAGTTTTATGAGAACTATTTTATTTTAAAAAACAAAATGGATAAATTAATATTTATAAATACAGAACCATGTCAGGACCATCATGCTTAAAACGATTTCCCGCATAATATGCCCCTTAAGGGGTTAGGGGTACTTGGAATTTTTGAAAAATCGATTTTTATATTTTTGCATTTTCATTAAGTGTAATATCTTGAAAATGTTCTCTGAAAATTTCAAGTTGATCCGATGATTACTTTTGAGTTATTGGACCCTTACCAGCGCGTTGACGCAAGTGGAGAGCTCGATACTTATACTCAAGATTATTCTCCCTCACATCCTGATGTTTTAAAAGCTTTTAAACCGATTGAAAACGATGTCAGCAATGATAATTTACTTTCAAAATGTGTAGTTCAAGATTGAATCCATAATCAGGAAAAATTAAGAGCTTCAAACCAACTAGTCTAAAAAATATGCCTAAAAACCGTGAATACTAGTTCTACTATCGTACACATTGCCGAATACATATACATAATCATTACTATTGATTATGGGTACCCTAGGACCTAATTGTGGGTATAATTCCCATTGGTATGCTGAAAAATTGAATGCTGCACGTGTGAAAGTAGCAGATCAGCGCGCCCACGAGACGACACGGGAGGGCAGAATGCTTCGTAGGCAACACCAAATGGAAATTGGGAAACTTCCACAATGACTGAAGAATTGTTATATGGCCACAGGAATAGATGACTCGGTGTGTAATAAATTAATAATCGTATTTCTGTACGTAAATCCAATGTAAAACTTTGAACGCGTTTTTCTCAAAACTATGTTTCTTGAATCGGTGACCACTGTAACTCAAAAACCGCTTAGTAGATTTTAATGAAATTTATACAGCTTCTAGAATACATAATAAACTCGTGCCTGATCGAAGAATTTTTATTTTTCAAAAATTTGAATTTTTTAAGACAATAATTAACTGTTGATTTTTTACCCAAAAATCTAGATTTTTCTTTCTGATGCTGCCATTTTGTTAATTTTTGCAAAAAAAAGAAAACCTTCGATCCGGCCCGGGATTAAATATTCATAAAACTATTTTTTCAATTTGATTGATTTAGATGAATATCCAAGGAGTTATGATGGTCACCGCCAGGACCGTTTTTCGAAACAGGGTCAACAAAAACAGCTATAACTTTGGGAATATTGATTTTTTTCTTCTGAAATTTTTGTTACATCAAGTCAAAACATTGTATAATAATGCTGTATTAATATTTTTGTAGAAAAACATCGTTTAATAACCAAAAAGAAATACTGAAAACACTCATTATTTCGTGCCTGCAAGTACCCCTAACCCCTTAACTCGTGCCGGCACTTTGTCTCTAACCCGCATAATACCCTTTCCCGCGTAAGACGTGTTTTTGGTAGTCCGATCCCGAAAAAATCGTTTTAACGGGGTTTTACTGTATTATCATTTTTTAATACGATTAATATATACCCGATAATAGTTTGGTATCTTACTACTGAGTTACAAAAATAATAAAATTTATTAGAATAATAAATTTTATTTAATAAATAATGAATAATTGCCAAAAATGTGACACTCGCAAAAAAAATGTTCTGTTAACAAGTTATTTTCAAAATTTGTTATATTTTTTAATATTACTAAAACATTTGTGTTAACAATAAAAATAGTCGCCCAAATTTTAATAAATCATTAGAAGTCAAAATATTATTTTATTTTGTTTATAAGACATTTTTAATATTAATTTATTTATAAAAAAATTAATTACCTTGAAATATCATCAATAATCCATATAACCAACCATTTTCCATCAACATACGACCGTTAGATATATTTTTCTAAACTCTTTTTCATATTTACGGAATATTTTTTAACGAAATATGTTTGCATATTTTTCAATATTTACTGTTGTGAAATGACGAATTATATCTTAGGAAATAAATCAATATATCAATATTAAAAAATATTGCTCTTATGTATGTAAACAATTTATTATATAAAAAATTAAGCAATTTTTATGCAATTCTAGGAAAGCGGCGGTTTTTAGGAGAAGCCAAAAAATTTTAATAATTAGTTAATAACACTATGAGTAATAATATAAAATAATTTGATATTTAAAAAGCTATTAACATGTATAACTAGACTTTATTCCTATTTCTTTTTAAATAAAAATAGAATAAAAAAAATAATCAATGCTTTACTTATAAAACATTTTAATAGAAACCAAATGGAATTAATTTCAAAAAAACGTGACAATTTTATTAGATACATACATCTATTTATGTAAAGTACCTTCGCAAATATGATCCAAAAGATTTATAAAAAAATCAAGTCTATAGCAACTCAAGAGATTTCTCAAATTTCAGAATTTGTTTCAAATCTTTTTTTTTTTAAGTATTAAAAAAATTTGCTCCTCCCGAGATACATCACTGCCAAACAAATAACACAACATGATCAATCTTGTTCGCTATTTAGTATAAATACGAAGAAAGTGATTGAAAAAACTATTAGAAGTAGTTTGTTCTCTAACTGTTTTAAATAATTTATAATCATCATAAAAAGTTTACTGAATTTGTCAGAAATGTGGTCTATTCTGATCAATTGTTTTTTACTTTTTATTGCTTTAGAGCGAGTACATAGCAGTAAACCAAGTCTGAAATTTGTTTTTGTTGTAAGTATCAAGCATTATAAATATTATTACTATTATTTTATTATGAAAATATTTTATTTATAAATTCGTTTTCTCAAAATGTTTATTTTTATCAATAAAAACTTTAGTATTATGAGACAAAATAATGGAACAAAAGCAAAATAAAATATAAAGAAAAATATAAAAAATATAGAATGAATTAAATCAATGGAAGTAACGTGGAAATGTTTATTTATATTTATTATATTTATAATTTGGTTGCTATACCTTCAATACTTTTAAAATATTTTTCGTTCTTTAAAATTTTATGTTTTGAAATTAGTACGGCGTTCTGGAGATAAAATAATTTCATAAAAGTAAAATGAGTATGAGTAGCATAAAAGTGTATTTATATATTTTTTTCATAAGTACTTTAAAATTTTCTATTAAAGACAACTAGAGGTGGTGAACATCAGCCTTGTATTTATCCGGGTGGACCAAATTTCGATGATATAAAAATCGACGAAAAACAAAGTCACCTAACTGAGGTAAATAAACAAAAAATTAGTTGCTTTTATATAACTTATTATTTATTTATGAAATTATTTGTTTGTTTAAAGGAAGGAAAAGAAACCGCATATGAATTGGGTCAAAATCTTTCAAAAACATATAAAAGTCAATTAGGAATAACAGAATGGAGCGACAAAAACTGTTGGTCTTTTGCGGGAAAAGCAACGAGAAATCAAGAAGCTGCTTTAATACTTAAATATAGTTTCCAAAATAAAGTAACAATATTTATTTTTATTATTATTAAATTATATTGAATGTATCTTATTCGTTGATATTTTTATTTACTCAATATTTCAGGAAGAAAAAACAAAACAATGGACCCAAGAGGAACTATCAAAAGCCCAATTTCCATCAATAGACTACGTAAGTTATTGGTTACATTGTAAGTTTTTCATGATACCCTGTATTTCGTTAGTATGAAAAAAAAATCACCGATAGGTAAATACTTATGAATGCAAATATGAACAATATTTTAATAGCATTAAATAATTATACGAATTTAACAAATATTTGAATAAAACTGAATGTGCATCGAATGTAAATAAGTTTAGACATATAAAGTTGAGACTCAAATATAATTTTAATACCTAATGATGTTCATTCGTGATTAAGTGCATGTCAGATTGAATTTTACGGTTTGTTAAAACTGCATGAAGAGCTTATAAAAGTGTACAAAAGTCTTTAAATTATTCTGAAACTATAAATTGTTGTAAACTACAAAAATGATGGTGATTGAATCTCGATGGTTCTTATTTTGAATTAGGGTGTTCTAAATATTAAAAAAATAAATAAATTATATATATATATATATACATATATATGTATATGTATATACATATATATGTATATGTATATATATATATATATATATATATATATATATATACATATAATATGGTTTAATACTAAATATTAAATATATTTCAGTTTTTCAAATTCTTAAATAAAAACGAATGTCCAGCATTTTGGAACGAGTTTATGACACAAATGACATCAGATATAAAAACACTACAGGAAGAATATAAATCTTCATTAACAGAGGTGAAGCAAAACTATAAAAAAATTGACACAAATAACCCAGCCCATATTTGGATAACATACGAAACAGTACAAAGATTAGTAAGAATTCGTTTCAAATGTTTGGTACATTGCACAGTGCACTTTTTTATACATATGGATTGTATTTTAATTCTTAGAAACATAATGGAAGAACACCCAACTGGTGGACCACTACCATTGAATCAGATCTCAAAGCATATTCGGAAAAATTCTTACACGCCGCATTGACTAAAACAGAAAAATTAACAAAACTATCAGGCGGTAAACTACCTGAAATAGCTCCATAATTCAATATCAAATTTGTACAATAATATACTATATTTTTTCTCCTATTTAGGGCCAATGTTAACTGATATCTTGAAAGATATGGATGAGATAAAGAAGGGCAAAAAGCAACCAGTTTCAAACATAGAGAAAGGTGTTTCAATTTTCACAGCATCCCAAAGCGTATTGGCTGCTCAACTAGCAGCCTTCAGTCCCAAGGGAACAAAATTGGGCGATAAAGAAATCAGTGATGAGATTTTTTATCCTGGAATAGGTGCAACCCATGTTCTTGAATTGTATAAGGACGGAAATCAATGGAATGTCAAAGTGAGTATTATAAAAAATACATAATCGCAATATAGTTATAGTTGCCGGATAAATTTTTACTAAAAATCCACAATGAAAAAAATGCTCACAATTAATAAATTACAAAAATTATTATTCAAATTATAATTTAAGAAATAATGAAAAAAACTATTTGCTTTGTAATTATTGTGAATTATTTCAAAACTGCTGAATGATGTTATATATATATATATATATATATATATATATATATATATATATCACATAATTTTATATATTTTAGATGAAATATCATAACGGCGATAAAAACTACAAAACTATGAAACTTCCTGGCTGTCAAGAGATGTGCCCGTTCGAAAAGTTTACAAAAACATTGGAAAAGGTTAAATTAACCCAGAACGATCAGAAAAACCAATGCCAATCCAAGTAATATTTATTATTGTTATTATAATATATAATATAAAGTAATATTCTGCCTACACAAGCACGTTGTTGATAAACCAAATGAATTTTGTTAAAATTGATGCAATTGTTATAGAAATGCTGAATAATTTGTTAAATAATATTATATTAAATATTGTTATAAATTATATTTTATGAATAATCTTGAAATAAAATGCTAATTTTTGAATCAGGATTTTAATTTAATATTAGGTTCTTAAAGAATTATTATAACAAAACACGAAATTTGTACAAAAATCATTTCTTTTCGCATGTGAATTTAATTGTTTTAGTATAATACTGTTAATATCCATGTAAAGTTAAATGTTTTAAAATTTATTTTTAGGAATTACAACTTTTAAAAACCACAAAAATGCATGACCATATATAAGTTATATCCGCTCAAGATTAAGCTAATTTTTCATCGGGGAATTTTATTCTGACAAATCATTTCTTATCTAAAAAAGACATTTATAATTATTGTTTGATATAATATATATATATATATATATATATATATATATATATATATATATATATTGTATGATTCTGAATTTGATGTTGATATGTATTAACAAAGTCTAATAATCGGGCATAACATCAATAAAAATTGATTGAATTTTTATTGATGTTATGCCCGATTATTAGACTTTGTTAATATATATATATATATATATATATATATATATATATATATTAAAAAATAGTTAATTTTGACGTTGAAGTCTATGAATAAAATCTGGGAAAGCATAACATCAAATAAAAAAGATTTTAAAGCAGTATAGTATTATAATATGAAAAATATAATTTGCATGCAATATAATCAACAATAGTTCTTAAAAAAAATTTCTTTTAGCAACCGATAAATCCAAGACTTTAGACTCTTAATAGTGCAGTAAACGGAGCGTTTTAGGTCTGAATTTTTTTTACTGTGCTCGGAATTGAATGAAATTTTGGAATTAGGTTCATCTTACCCTCAAGTTCAAAAGTGAAAACAATTCGGGTTGCGCCATCACCCCCCGGGGGGATGACACCCCCTCTCAATTGTGTAATTGCATTTTTTCAAAATAACGTCGGAAATCGATAGAAGAACTAATTATAAGAAAAAAATGTCTTCTATAGTTTTTAAAAAAATCTAATACTTTTTAAGTTACTGGCCACTAAAGATTTATATATTTTTGGCGTTTTTCTTCGTTTTTTTTGCAAATATCTCCTAAAATATACATTTTAACGAAAATCATGTAATGAACAAAATAATGTTAATAAAATTCTTAATAAATCGGTGTTACATAAAGTGTTCTAGGAGAAATATTAAGCAAGATTTGAAAGAGCAAAGTCGTTTTTTATTTCGTTTAAGATTTAATTGTTGTATTTAAAGCCATCTAGTGTCGAGGTTTTACATTTTATGCATTTCGGTGAAATTGGATTTTATAGTGCTCAACATGAGCTTTAAAATGAGTGCTATTACAAGTTTTTTGCGTGTAAAATGAGTGAGTTATAACGCAAATAAGAAGCATAGACGAAGTTTTTTTTTTTTAAATCATATGGTTTAATGAGCACCATTTCCACCAGAATTGAAGTAATTCACATTCCATCTAGAATTCACTTCATTATAGACATCTTGATAGATTCTAGCAGATTCACTACTTTAGTACAAACTATTTTCAGAAAACTCACGTTTTTATAAAAACTTTTTTCTCCAATTTTTTTAAAAATCGAAATTATTTTCATTATATCTCAAAAAGAATAAAAAATACGTATAAAAACATATAGATAAAAATCAAAGGGATCTTTCTGGCTTATTATTGTTTTTTATTATTTTTCTCTCACACGAAAATTGACAGAGTTATAAATGTTTAAAGACTGCGCGGCCGCGCAAATTGGAAAGATTTTTTTTTATAAAAACGTGAGTTTTCTGAACATAGTTTGTACTAAAGTAGTGAATCTGCTAGAATCTATCAAGATGTCTATAATGAAGTGAATTCTAGATGGAATGTGAATTACTTCAATTCTGGTGGAAATGGTGCTCATTAAACCATATGATTTAAAAGAAAAAAACTTCGTCTATGCTTCTTATTTGCGTTATAACTCACTCATTTTACACGCAAAAAACTTGTAATAGCACTCATTTTAAAGCTCATGTTGAGCACTATAAAATCCAATTTCACCGAAATGCATAAAATGTAAAACCTCGACACTAGATGGCTTTAAATACAACAATTAAATCTTAAACGAAATAAAAAACGACTTTGCTCTTTCAAATCTTGCTTAATATTTCTCCTAGAACACTTTATGTAACACCGATTTATTAAGAATTTTATTAACATTATTTTGTTCATTACATGATTTTCGTTAAAATGTATATTTTAGGAGATATTTGCAAAAAAAAACGAAGAAAAACGCCAAAAATATATAAATCTTTAGTGGCCAGTAACTTGAAAGTATTAGATTTTTTTAAAAACTATAGAAGACATTTTTTTTTATAATTAGTTTCTTCTATCGATTTCCGACGTTATTTGAAAAAATGCAATTACACAATTGAGAGGGGGTGTCATCCCCCCGGGGGGTGATGGCGCAACCCGAATTGTTTTCACTTTTGAACTTGAGGGTAAGATGAACCTAATTCCAAAATTTCATTCAATTCCGAGCACAGTAAAAAAAATTCAGAGGTTATACCCTTTTTTCCTCTCCGTTTACTGCACTATAACTTATAATCACAAATATATGATTTTATTACATATAACCCATCAATACCATTAATTAAAATTATTATTTAATCATATTTTTCCTTATTTTTTTTTTACTAAAATCATATTGCTAACATAGAAGATTCGGATCTCCCACCAAAATTGAGAGCACGCGTTCGATAAGATACAAAATATCAAATAATGGAATTTATCGATAATTTTTGGGACAGACACGTCAATATTCATCGATAATACTGACACCAGATCAAAATTATGATCTTTCGGAATAAATATTTTTGATACTTATCGGAAAAGATTACTAAATGAATATTGAATTCGCATAATCTAAATATTTAATGTAGACTGGGCAACTAATGGCTACCAATCGAGTCAATAATGAACTGGAAAATCCAGAAACCGAGCTTGTTTTTCGTCATAATATTTATTTAAGCAGAATGTAGGTAAATGTTCGAGCTGATTAAATTATTATGAAAATAGCTGGATAAAAGGTTAATAATAAACACAGTCTGGATTGCTACAATTTGTTGTATCATATCTAGTTCAAGGATAAATTTCTGCAAATTTCATATTTTGCAAAAAAAAAAACAAATACAAAAATGTTTAATTAAAAAAAAGTTGCGATTTCGATAGTTAAAATTTGGCCTTTTTAATAACAACCTTAATGTCCTATATTTTACAATATTAAATGTAAGTTTTTTAAAATTTGCTAAATTTGGAATTTTTAATCTTGAAAATTTGGAGATTCTGAAATGGTTATGAGAGTATTTTTAATTTTTTTTTTAATTTCAAGAATTTTGAATCTTTAAACAAAAATTAACAGTTCAACGATCAAAAAATATTTTTTCTTTTCCTTCGAAAAAAAATCATTTAGAAATTTCAAACATTCTAAATAATTCTAAAAGTTACTTTGAATAAACTCCTTTGAAAATAACTTGCCTATGGGGCAGAAAGGATCAGGCTACAAATGTTTGAAAAACAGCAAATAAGTTTTTTTTTAAAGAAAAACAGGGTCGTGCGGCACAAAAAGATTGAAAACCACTGCATTAAAGTCTGCTTTGATTAAGATTTTCCTAAAATATGACCGATTGTTAATATTTGAATATTTGTTAATATTATATAATTATCTGATTTTTTCTTATTTTTAATTAAGAGTTCAAAGCAATATATTAGGTTGTCAAATATCTCCCTTCCGCTTTTTTGCTCTTGGTTTATAATACAAAAAGGCGGAAGGGAGATATTTGACAACCTATATATAATCTAATTTAATACTTTCTTTATTTGTGCCGCAATATTATTGAACGATTTTAACCATTGCTGCAATATGTTTTAAATTCTCGAAAGTATTCATAAACTTCAGATTTATAATTTAAAAAAATCCATATTTTCAACAAATATTCAACACTTGCAATTTTTTTAATTCATAGCGAATGAATAAATATTGAAAGTAATTATGTAATAATCATTAATATATTAAATTCAATTATTATTTCACTTATTTATATTATTATTCAATTAATAATTTAATTAATAATTATTATTTAAATATCAAAATACTTTATTTTTAGAATTTATGCCAACAATTCACTTTTATTTAAATATTAGTGCCAGTATTATCACTAACGTTGAAGTAAAACTTTTTTAGACGCGACTTTCCTAGTCGTAAATCTGTGAAAATGCAACGAAAGGTCGTTACGCCCGAACTGTTCGTCACTCATATAATTTCTATACGGGTCGATTGTGATTGGTCGTCGTGTCGCGTGAGTATGATTGCTTTGATTGTACGCGTATACGTAGTATGTACCAGAATATAGTAAAAATAATAAAACAAATGAAAAATCTGTGCCGTGTAAGAAACGTAAGTTTATTGAAATGATTTGTATTATTAGTGGTTACTATATATTTTTAGAAATTATTTTTACAGCAAGACACATACTACAGCTGATCAAAAAATGAGACTGTATCGCCAGCGAAATAGTCAAAAAAAAAAAACAGTCAATGAATGTATGTTAAATTTTAATTACATGACAAGTAAAACAAATGTTTTCGTTTAAATGTCAGAGCCTACAATTTCATTTTACTGAAAATACTTTGTAAAACTTTACCTGAACGTAAAGTATTACAAAGTTGCATACTTTTATAAATAATTATAAATAATGAAAAATTAATTGATATTCAAAGTTATTACTCTAAACAAGAGATCAAGCGCAACAATAGTTTGTGTAGCTGTGTATCATTTATATACAGAAGATATACTTCATAATGGACATCTATGCAGTTTATTTATTGCTAGTGTTAATAAAATTACTCAAGATTCTTATACATCTGTCCACTGTGTGAACGAATATTATAGAATTTATTAATCAGCAA